GGGTGACAACCTCAGTGGTAGTTTATTCAGTACCATTTTGGACAACACCGGCAGAGGCACCAGCAACGACGGAGAAAACGGCAGCGATAGTAGCGAAACGCATTTTGACAAGTTTTATATGGTTTTTATGAAAAAACTTAAAAACGGAGGGGAAATATTAGAGTTACGGGGGGGTTGTATTAAAACGAATGAATACGCTAAAGAGCGAGCGTGGTGATAATGCGAGAAGCTAAAAGCAAGAGTGAAGAAGCGACTGTGGGTGGTGAGAGAGAGGAGAGAGGAGAGTTGGTCTGGGTCGGCTCCAAGGTCCTTTATAGACGGTTTGTCAATTGTATTGGGATGGGTGGATGGGGAGGATAGGGTTTGTGACCTCTTCGCTCTTGCTACTGGCTGGGGCCGATAGCATGGACGTGGGGCGTCAGGTCAACAGGGGTTGGGAGGAGAAAAATATTGCAAGTCAGGAAAAAGGGGTGGGTGGGTGGATAATCCTTTCCCTTCTTCCGCATGCGTGGGTATGGAATGAAGGCCTTTCCTCTCATTCCCCCTCTCACCCACTCATTCATTCACACCCCTCACTCTCGCTAATGTCTCTCCCAATCTGCCCGTTACCGTCTATGGAAGGCTTGTGCGGGTCAGTTTTCGTTTAGGGCAGGTACCAGTATTGTACTCGTACGAGTGCAATAACTTTGGTGCCACTCTCTATCAGTTCCCGGAAATTAGCATCCATCAGCGGTTCCATCTATCTCAAGTACCCACCTTTACCTATTTCCCATTCCAATTCATTGCCAAAAATAGTACACTACAAGGAGAGGCTATCGACCGGATCTGAACAAAAAGGTTGAGCGGTTGTCCCATCCCATGGCCCAAGATTCAATTCCCCCACCGTGCCATCCAGCTCGAGCAAATTGAGAATCTTATCTCCCTGCCGTTAACCCCCTTACGGACAAGTGCAATCGCCTCGGCGCAGGTACAGCTCGAAATCCACACCTCAGACCGATCAAGGGAAAGATGAAAGTGAAGAAAGAAAGGAAAAGGGGAGGGTAGGAGCTCACATGTTGACCAATACGGTGGGACAAACCATTCTCGGTCGGATCGAAGGAAAGGGCAAAAATTGGACACACACCAATCATCCCGTTGCCGACTTTTTCTGCCCATGATGAGGAACGTGGGTGGAGAAGCTGCCTAAATGCCTAAATTAGCCATGGTCGGTTGGTTGATTGGTTGATTACAGTACTGTTGTGCTTCGAAATCTGTCGTGCCAATCAATTGATCATCGGCGGGAAAGGACCATGTTGTTGTTGTTCTTTTTTACACCCTGATCTAACATGCCGGCATGGAACCGGTGCAGCAACCGATTGTGCTCGAGCAAGCTACTATTCCTGGACTATCCACCTGCGGCACTTGTACGAGCACAGTGCTCGAGTACGATGGCGGCGCCCAGGCTAGGAAGAATGAAAATTAGGTTTTAGTACCGGTGCTGTACAGTACGAGCTCAGCACTTGTTCAGCACTTTCCGCCGTTAACGAACTGGATCGTCGACTTGACCAGCGGAAGTTATCACCACGTGGTGGAGGGGAAAAAGTGAGAGAAAAAGTAATTGCTCTGCTGCTAGCACGGGAGACATGATACTCGAGGAGAATCAGGCTACGACGCAACCGCCATTGCTCCCTCCTTATTACACGCCACACAAAGCATTTATCATACACTCCAACCACTTTTTTCCACTCCCCGCTAGGACAAGCCGCTGGTCTTGTGATACAAGTACCGTATGTAAGAGTACTAGTACGAGCACAACAAATACAGGTACTCAGGCACAATGGACGGGTCAGAAAGACTGCATTAATGCTACGGTATGTCCCTCCACCCATCAGCTCCTTCTCGATCGGCGGCAATCGCTGACCCTCTCCTCCTCGCCTTGCCCGCTGCACCCGCCACTCGCACAACTCTCTCATTTAACCCTCTCACCGCAAAACCCCCTTCCTCCTTTCCCCGCGTCAACAGAAGGCAAATGAAATATCATACCGTAAGCAAAAAAAGGACAGTACCAAGTCGATCATCCCTTTCAAATCTCACCTTTCCGGACACAGTCAACTTTTAGTAACCTCTCTCAGGGAATACCGGTACTACCGTGCAGGCACTACGTCCCCTCTTCAGCCCTCAGCCCTACTGTACCGTACTCGTACACTGTGCTGTGCGCGACTGGAGAGTAAAAAAGTTTCACCTATCCATCGTTCCGCTCGAATCGAGCTGATTCCCGCGCGTCCGGTGAGATCAGGATACTACAGGCAAGGAGCTGGTTGGTTGATTCCGGCCGCATTCATTATCTATCGTAATTCCTTGCTTCTGTAGCTGCTGCCTTGGTACGAGCACTCGAATCCGGTACAGTACTTGTATCATATGTATGAAGATCGCCGCTTTGGGGGCCATCCGCCGCACTGCGACCACGAGCTAAGCTGCTCAAGTCCTCTCCTATTACCGGTACCGGTACCGTACAGTACTCAATTACGGTACTCGTACTGGCAGCTGGGGCTCGGACACTTGTGTGCTGTTTTCGGGGTCTTGGCGTGCAGAGTTCTGCATTCTCTTGGAAATCGCAAGCGGAATGTCAGGAGAAGGGCACGAGCGGGAGCACCAGGCACCCGAGCAGATTACGGCAAGTCGTCCCTACTCGAATACTGTGCACGAATAGCGAAGACTTGTATGACACCGTGACACCGTCGCTTTTTTTTCTTGTTCCTGTTCCCCAAACCAAGCCAAACAGATAAGTTATTCATGAGCGCCTGAGGAAAAACTCCCGTTGCTGATGTTGATTCTCTACAACACGGGGTATTCTGGTGATAATTACTCGAGTAGGCCGCCGCACCGCTGAAGCACAAGTTGGGTCCAGTCTAACAAATACTGGTACTAGTACCGTACTAGCGCTCTTCTGAAGTAGGGCGCAACTCGCTACGAGTACTTGTACTACTTGTACTCGAGCACGCTATCACGGAAAGAGAGAGGGCAAATAACCGAAATTACAGTAAAGGTTTACGCTTTTTTTTTTTTTTTCCTTTGCCTTTTTCGCTGCTCGCGTGCTTCCACAATGTATGATTCAGTATGAACCACAGCGCCCGTAAACGAAGGGATGAGATGGGTGAATCTTCAGATGGCGGCTGTTTCTCGATAACGGCCGGTGGAGGGGCTTATTGGAACGTGCCCCGTTACTTTACTCGTACTAGTAGTACAGTTGTAATACTGTACTAGTACTCGTACGGTAGT